GATGAGCATCCTTCGGAAAGTGGACCGAGGACATTACCGAAGCCGGAGAGACCGGTCCTCTAGTGGGGAGCACGGGAGGGACAGCAGGCCCCAGCCAGAGGACCATCACCGTAAGAAGAGGCGCTGCTACAGCCGAGAGCGGCCCAAGCAGGAACGCCACCCTGCTAATACATACTGCAATGGGGGCCAGCATCTGGGCCACGGTGACAGAGCCAGCCCTGAGCACCGCTCCCTGAGCAGGTACAGCCACCATCATTCACGGATTAGGAGTGGCCTGGAGCAGGACTGGAGCCGGTACCACCATTTGGAAAATGAGCATGCCTGGGTTAGGGAGAGATTCTACCCAGACAAGATGCGGTGGGACAAGTGCAGGTATTACCATGACAGGTACACGGGCCTGTACACGGGCCGCGAAGCCCGCGAATGGCGGCCTCTGCATGGTCGTGAGCATGAACGCCTTGTCCAGTCTGGACGGCCACACAAGGACAGCTACTGGGGCCGCAAGGGCTGGGAGTTGCAATCCCGGAGCAAGGAATGGCCCCACTTCCACAGCCCCCGAGAGGCCCCTGGCCTTGCTGTGCCCCTCGAGAGGCATCTCCAAGAGAAGGCTGCGCTGAATGTGCAGGACAGCAGCCACAGTTTCCCCGAGTGCTTTCATGAACACCAAAGTGTCAAGTCGAGGAAACGGAGGTATGAGACTCTAGAAAATAATGATGGTCGTCTAGAAAAGAAAGTCCACCAAAGCCTGGAGAAGGACGCGCTGGAAGAGCCCAGGGTGAAGAAGCACAAAAAGTCTAAAAAGAAAAAGAAGTCCAAAGATAAACATCGGGATAGAGACAGCAGGTGAGGGCCGGTCACGGGGATGCCTGCTCTGTCCTGGCACTGAGTCAGCGGCTGGGCCACTGCTCCAGCCGTCTCTGTTCCATTCTCCTGAGTTTCGGGATTCCATTAGTTTACATCTCTAAACGTTGACACAGCTTTGAAATTGTTGCTCCCTGACAGCTCTTCCAGGCCTCCCCATGTCATTGTACTCTTGTCACTGTTATATTTTCTTCCTGCCTGTTTGCCTGCTTAGTGTGAGCTTGAGACACACCATTTATCTCTCTGGCTTCTGTCTCCTTAGGCCACCAGTTCTCATTTTGAAGTCTAAATTATTTTGTATCTTTCTGATGCCTGGGCTGTACTCAAACTTAGATCCTCTTGCTTCAGTGTCCCCAATACTGGGCTTACAGGCTGTGGCGCTGCATCTGATTGATTGCTTTTGCATAACTTGGGAGCCCAACTGTTGGCGACTGTCTTAATGGCTGTCTGATTGGTAAGCATGAGTGTGACTCCTGGGTTGTTTTTAGCTAGTATCACTTAACACTAAACTGGGAGAAGACGGCCGTAGTCTTGTATAACCAGCTGCAGATCGCAGCTGCCTGCCCTCTGTGCTGTGCCTGATCAGAGTAGGCAGAGTAGGGCAAAGCCGTGCTGGGGCGTGTGGCATTGTACTTGAAGACTGTGCTTAACACTTGTTTCCATGAAAAGAAAGCACATGTTCGTTCGCAGGAGGTATTTGCCCACATGTACTTAGCCACCGTCCTGGGACAGGGAGCCTGGATGGCAGTTTTCCTTGGTGCTGAACTTTGGCTGCTTCTTCTGCAGGCACCAGCAAGAATCCGACTTTTCAGGAGCATATTCTGATGCTGATCTCCATAGACACCGGAAGAAAAAGAAGAAAAAGAAAAGGCATTCAAGGAAGTCGGAGGACTTTATAAAAGGTGTTGAGATGCATTTACCGAAGCTCTCAAGCTATGAGGCCGTTGGCCATTTCCGGAGATCAGAGGACACCTTTCTGCTGGCTGATGGTCGGCCTGTGGAAGACAGTGGCCCTTTCCGGGAGAAAACGAAGCATTTAAGGATGGAAAGCCGGCCTGACAGATGCCATCTGTCAGAGTATGGCCAGGGTAAGGGAAATTAGGACACAGCTCTCAGTAAAGTATTTTGGGAAAGGTGATAAGCATAAGGATATGAGAGTGGACTCAAGATGCCCCAAAACAAGACCAGCCCATGAACAGAGGTGTGCTTTGATCTCTGGCTGGGAGTGTCTAGCTTTCTGGAAAGCCTAAGTTGCATAGAGCTAGCCCCAGCACAACCTGTGTACGCAGTCCCCAGAAGTTAAAGCGTCTGAGTAGACCTTTGGCTTTTAAAGCATTCTGTGCTCGTGTATATCTTAATGTGCGTGCACATGTGCACATCTCTGTGTGTGTGGTACTCTTTGCTGAACCCCTAAATGCTCCTAAGTCCTAAATGAATAGGGTGGTCTCTAGAGGTGTAGCTACAGTGTGGGGCTCTGGTATCCTTCAGGCTACTGGTTTCTGTGGTGGTTCTTGCTGATGTCTTCTCCCTAAGTGAGTAGGTCAATACACAGAAGCCCCTATGCCTTGATCTTCCTATGTAGTCTAGGCTAGCCTAGGACTCAGTTCTATGTCAGCATCCTGAGTGCTGGGATTACAGGCCAGTACCAGTGTGCTTGGCTGCCCTGTTCCCTTTGTGAACATTTCCTCTAGACAGGAGCATTGGGCTTGTAAAAACTGCATGGGCTATGGGTGTCAGTGAGGCTAGAGCAGAGGCTGGCAACCTGCAGCCAGTCTAACCTGAAGTTCGAATGGCTCTTAACAGTTAAAAGTGGAGGGCTGGTATTTGTTCCCGTGCAGCACTGTTTGAAGATGGAGGGTCAGTGTTGGTCGACTATGGATGCCCATGTGCTTTGTGTTAGCTTTGGTGCCACTCAGTAGCACTGAGACATGGCCTGTCCACTGAAACTGTTGTCATCACCTAGCCCTTGATATTAAAAGCTTAACAATTCTGCCTCAGACACCCAAAGATCACAGTCACAAATAAAGGACTTGTGTTGCTACAGAGATGTTGGCATTTTGGTGGCTCCAAGAGGAACCTTTTGTTTCCTGGCAGTCCATCCGTACACAGCAGCTGGGTCTGCAGCTAAATGCCTCTGCACACTCTGAGGCCTGACCATTGACCCTTTCTTGAAAGACACCAGCCCTTCCTCCAGCTCTTTGTATGACTCTCAGCACATTTCTTCAAACTGAAAGAATGTTCATCCACGGTCCTGGGCCTGAGACCTGGTCCTGTGTGGCTCTTGACCCTCCTGGGCCTGTGCTTTGTGGCACTGCCAGCCCATCCTGCTGTAGGAGTGAGTTTTCAGCAGCTGGTAACAGCTGTAGGATTGAGTATGGTTAGTCTGCAGGTACACACCCATGAGAAAATTGTTTCCTCACTTTGCCTTCTAGGTAACTAAAAGCCTTGGCTTCAGAACAACAAAATTACGGTAAGCAGTTGTCCTGTGTGGATATGGGTGGGTTTCCTTGTGAAGAAAACTGGGGGTGGGGAAGGGGAGGGTCCTGGCGTGTCTGTGCCTCCAGCACCCACTCAGTCACTAGCTAGCATCCAGATGTGGAAGTTGTGCTAAGAATTGGGGTTAGGTATCTGAGAGCAGAGAGAGACCAGGTCAGGGCTATCTCCTGGTTCTTAATGCTGGTGTTCTGTTGTGTGGCCCTGAGACACAGGAACTCAGAGCCTGTACTTTGTGAAGGAAGACAGTGTTGTCAGGTCTAGTCAGCAGAGGCTTGAAAGTGAGCTGCTCCAGCAGCTGATTAACAGACTTGTCTGTGTCATGGAGACAAGACTTTAAGCCTCTCGTCCTCTCTGCCCAGTTCAAGTGGTATCTGAGGTCTGAGGCGATTTGAGCTGTGAGGCCCAGCAGATGGCGCTGCCCTGGCATCCCAGAGTTCCCTACTGCAACCCAGGAAGGTAGAGAGTCCATTTCAGGAACTTCTCAAAAGCCTTGGGGACACATCCAGAGAGAGTGAGCCCGGCCTCTGTTCAGCTAACGCCTGCACCTCTTATCTTTCAGATTCAACATTTTCAACAGAAGCCATCCCCAACCCAGCTTAAATTATAAACATAGAAAATAACTCTGTCCAAACTGTGTGGTGCTTCTTTAGTAAATACTGTACAGATTTTACCATGGACAACTTTTCTTTTTCATTTTTTTTTCAGTTTTTACCTTTTCTTAATTGCCCTTATTCCAAAAGGATACTTTCTACACTGCTGAACGTTGTAAATTACCGTGTACATAAAATCACACTGACAATAATGCCCTGGAATAGACCATCTCAAATGCTGCTTAACCACAGACTCAGGTTGACTACTTGTATCTCATGTAATGTTCCTCCACGCTAGACACCTGGTGCACGGCCAGCTGGGAACCATGGACTTCAAAAGGACAAGCGACAGTGCGTCTATTTAATTTAAAGACTTATTTAAAGACCCAAGCTCTCAGCGAGACCTTCGAGGGCTTCCTCTGCAATGTCTGATACTAGAAACTAACTTGCTTCACATTTTAGTTGTATTCAAGATTTGAAGATGTATTTTATAGAGAAGTTCTGTTTTTGAACTTTGTGGAACAATTCCAATCAATTGACCAGTTATGATGAGTATTTGCATTATGAATGTATAATCCAGACATTATTTGTAAAGCCTACAGTATGTTTTTTTTACCTAACACTTTTTATACTGTGTCTCGTCTTCGACAATATGATATTGGAGTCTGAGTCATCAGCTTGATCCCTTCAAGTTTCTAGTTACAGACAAAAATCATACTGTGATTTTATTTTTAATATGGATATGCTATAAAACTGTGACACTTATAATTCACTGGTCCTGCATCAGGAGACGGGAGTGGGGAGAAGACTGTATTTAATACAGTGTGTATCTGAATAATCTGTATGGTTTATACAGTTTGTGTTGTTCAGAGATGTCTAAAGTTGATCTTTGTTTTTTTAAGATTAAAAAAAAGCACTTGCCCCACTGTGTATCTATGGCATGTAAGATTTATATATATATAAATGGCAGCGAATTAAACAACGGTCTCGCTTTTACTCTGTTCTCCGCAAGCTCACAGCCACGTCTGTTTGGAAGAATTGAGTCTTAGGCAGTTTTGGTTTTAGCAATATGTTTTTATTTAGGGAACACAGCATTTGCAATAGTTCCAACAGCTGTAAGGCCCTCCATTTAGCTGTTTGCTTTGCAATAAAATAGCCAGAAATTCTGATATCAACATTAATAGGATATTTCTTCATGCAGGTTGTAGGATATGTACATTGTATAACACTGAAGAAATTAACATATGTACACTATTTACATAGTAACTTTATTGTAAATAGAAATGTTTTCTAAGATAGAAGAAATCACAACTTATGGTTTCTGGTCTGTAACCACCTAACTTGTGAGCAAAGCACATCTGTAGCTCTGAAGTCAGTATGACACAAAGCATAGGAGGCCGCTGCATCTCCAGACGGTTCCTAGTTACACTGCAGTACCACATCAAGTGTTCTGAAACCCAAAAATGACGTCCAGGGACCAGCAGGACAGGAAACTGTCTTTGGCCAGAGTAGGGCTTAGTGCTTCACTGCTGAGTGCAGACAAAGGGTGAAGGGCATGAGTGCCTGAGCCTTCACAAGCTCTGCGAGTGGCAGATGCCCTCAGGGTTAACACTGTCACAACATAACCTGAGTTAAGTGACTCCACGGGGATACTCCAAGAGCCAGTAACTTAGGATTCTTAGCACCAACAGCCATCAGGCAAACCAATAGCCATAGGTAAGGTCCCCTCAAAGATGACTATGGCATTAAAGACATTAGGTAGCCTCATGCTTAATGTCCCGTCCTCCATATCCGACAGAGCTCTGTTGCCTAGGACCACACCTGGGTTGAACATCAGACCGGCTCACCGTGGTCTGATTGAAGGAATGCCAGTTCCCACCTCCCAACAGGTGCCCCACCAGCAGTAAGTTCGGGTCTGAGGTGGCGAAGGCAGGGAGTGGGGAGTAGGGGTTAGGGATCATGGAAGACTGGAAGCCTGGCTGCATACACACTAGCCAGACAGCCCAAATGCAAGGGTTTCAGATTTGAGGTATTAGTAAAAGAAAGCCTAGAAGCTTGGGAATAAACCATAAAGTGATCAGTCTGGTACATGAGGGAATTCTGGCCTTCACATCCCCCTGTGCCATCTTAGATGACAGCTACCACCAACCAAGGTCAGAGGTAAAAAGCCTCAAGACGGCTCACTGAAAGCCTTATGTAAGGACATTTGGTTGGAGGTTTTCAAGGCCCCTTAGAACACAAGCTGCAGGTGTGTGCACAGAGTATTGAGGGTCTGCAGGGGAAAGCCATTTTCCAAATAAGCCACGTGCAGCCTCCAGAGGGTTCTCTAAAATGACCATTCATCACCCTATCGCCTTACACAGTCTTGGCCCAAGCACATGTGCCCTGAAGTCATAACGCTGGTATATATAGGGGTCTAGATGCCACAGGTGTTCCTCAGTGCCGTCTTCAGCTTTCCCCTCCTCAAAAGCACGTCCATGTTGGAAAACTCGGCACTACTAGAGGACAGGTGGATTATTTCTGGCTGCTTCTGCCTACTCACTACATCAAAATATATGTCAACACTTAACCAAAGTTTGAAACAGCAAGCAACAAAAGTACCAAAGTCAAGAGCCATGTGCAGATGGACCCCATGGAACTGTCCTATACGAAGGTCAAACAGTTCAATGTGGTTCTACACGCAAGTGGCTTGTTTCCAGAGGAAGAGCTCCATCTCCAGGCCTTGGCGCTGACAAGATCAACTCCCCGAACCATAGCCATACCTTACTGACTCATCCTAGAGAAGCATGTGAGGGGAAGCAGCAGTCACACCTGAGTCTCCCAAGCACACACTGGTCCTCATGTTCACCCCACTGCCTCTTCACCCCGAGTGGCTGCCTGTGCCCCACCTGTTCCCGCCTCAAGTGCTTGGGGGCTGCATATATAGACTGTTTCCAGTGCACAGTATATACTTGTGTCCAGGAGTTAAGTTTATAGCTGCCATTCTAAAAATACTACTGTTAGAAATTAAGTATCTTTCATTATAATTTTCAGAATATAAAAAGGCATATAAAAGCTATAATCCTATATATCTGAGAAAAATTCTGGATAAAAAAGTGGTAGGTTTTCCTTCCCCATTTTGATATAAAACAGTGACTCCTAGAACATGTAGTGCTGCCCCAAAGAGCAGGCGTGGCATGGTATGGATGAGGCTCTGGCTCCAGAAAAGGAGTCCCGTGTGGGCTGTGCAGATCTGGAGGCTGTATCACCAGGTGCTGTTGTGGACAAGGGTCCCCAAAGGTCAACGCTAGGACGGTGGCAGGAAGGAGATGCTCACAGCTGGCCAATGTCCCAAAGCACAGGCTTGAGGTCTCGGGCCTTAGCTGGCTGTTCTGGAGGACCCGTGGACAGCACACTGTCCCCAGTCCTACCGCCTGTGAGGCCAATGTATCCGCTGGAGTCTGGGTCTTGACATTTACCTATTTCTTATTGGCAATCCTCCTTTTCCTCGTGGCCAACATGTCATAGAACGGGTCCCTACTGATGCTTGCTCTGGGGAAGAAAGGAAGTTAAGTGGGGTGTAGCTGCAAGAAGGCCTGGATGCCCACTGCACCCCACAGGTTCCCAGGCTGTGGCTTCAGGTGTGAGGTAGCCAGACTGGCCTACGTCTCTGATACTCTGAGTAAAGGCGTTCAATACGCACACGTGTCAGCACCCCCCGCCCCCATACGACTGAGCACACACGTGTCAACGCCCCCCGCCCCCACACGACTGAACAGCCTAGCTGTGCCACTCACTTGATGGACTTCATCCACTCCTCCTTCTCCTCAGGGCTGGGGGCAGAGATCCGGTATACAACATGGTTCCCCTCCACCACACGGCCATCCGCCTCTGTCTTGCAGGCTTTGATGACTTGCCCTTTGTGACTGGGGTTGTACAGCTCAAAGCAGTTCTGACAGAGAGAAGGGAGCTGTCACAGGGGTGTCTGGGGCATGGGAGGGGATGCTGCAAAGATCTAGGGTGGAAGGAGGGCACACGCACAGAGAAGCCACATACCGGTTTCCGAGGGTCCTCCACCTCCCTGATGCTGAGGTTCTCCAGGGGGATGATGCCCCTGGGCTCCTTGTCCTAAGAGAGAGAGAGGTGTGAGGCAGGGCCTGACAGAGCGAGCCTTGAGCCTTGCAGGGCTTGGGAGGGTGTGCAGTCTCACTCACCGTGGTGTATTCAAAGTAGTAGAGGCAGTTATCTGTGAGGATGAACCAGCGCCGTTTCCAGGTCTTCACACGACCCCCTAGGAGCAGAAGAGCCCTGTGAGGCAGGTGCCCTGGCAGCTGGAGCCCCAGGGCCCAGAGCGGGTCCCAGAATCCCCTGCCACCACATCCCTGCCTTGGTCAAAGGCCACAGGAGGCAAGCTCGTAACTCGGCTTGCTTCCTCTTCAAACCATCCCATTTGGACCAGTTATAAGTCAAGGGAAAGCCATGAAGCCTGACCATCCAGGATGGCTGGGTGCAGGGCTGGGGCCCCCATGCACCCCCGCCCAGGGCCCACACAGGAGTTCTCTCTCCACGCCACCCAGGGTCACTCTAGGTCACACACTGCTTTCAAATCTGCTTTCTGGAAAAGTTAGTTGTAATGGATGAGTGTAATATTTCCCCCATGAAATGAACGATGAAGTCAGTGCCGGCTCACACAGGTCGGTCCAGGCTTAATCCTGTTACGTCAGGGCTGTTATCGCATTACTGGGACTTTAAGCAGCCCTGGGATCCATCAGAGTCAATTACTCTTGGCCCAGGGAATTATTAGATTGAATTAATCTTTTAACAAGATCTGAAGCTACACACACACACACACACACACACACACACACACACACACACACACACACACA